TTTTCAAGGTCGCCCGGTGTGGATATGCACTCAGAGTAACATGGCAAACATATTATTCACCTGAGTACACAACACCAACACAGAGAAAAAAAAAATTCATATTACTAGAACATATTGGTATTGAAGGAACCAGATACTGTTCCGAAATATCACTTACTGAAACCGTCCTGACCGCGTAGCTCAGTTCGAAGAGCATTGGGCTAGTATTCCAAAGGTCGTAGGTTCGAATCACACCGTGGCCGGGCATATTTTTCAAGCTCGCCCGGTGTGGATATGCACTCAGAGTAACATCGCAAACATATTATTCACCTGAGTACACAACACCAACACAGAAAAAAATTCATATTACTAGAACACATTGGTATTGAAGGAACTAGATACTGTTCCGAAATATCACTTACTCGAACCGTCCTGACCGCGTAGCTCAGTTGAAAGAGCATTGGGCTAGTATTCCAAAGGTCGTAGGTTCGAATCCCACCGTGGCCGGGCATATTTTCAAGCTCGCCCGGTGTGGATATGCACTCAGAGTAACATCGCAAACATATTATTCACCTGAGTACACAACACCAACACAGAAAAAATCATATTACTAGAACACATTGGTATTGAAGGAACTAGATACTGTTCCGAAATATCACTTACTCGAACCGTCCTGACCGCGTAGCTCAGTTGGAAGCGCATTGGGCTAGTATTCCAAAGGTCGTAGGTTCGAATCCTACCGTGGCCGGGCATATTTTTCAAGCTCGCTCGGTGTGGATATGCACTCAGAGTAACATCGGAAACATATTATTCACCTGAGTACACAGCACCAACACAGAAAAAACTCCAGTATAGTGTTTTCATCAGGGGTGATCTTAAGTTACAATCGTGGTTTCTTAAAAACCGAAGGGATGACGTCACCTGCCAACGAGATTCATGTATTCCTCTGGCCAGTAGGCATCGTCATCGCTATTCAAACCACGACTACTCATGTTTATATGCCAGGCTTCCTATGCAAAGTCTTTGACCATAGCGATTGTTTGTGGTAATTACATTAGAGTTTTCCCGCACTATCTCGTGTTTGGTGTAAAATACGTGTTCTGCTAAAGCTGATTTTCCTTTGTATAAAGTCAGTGAAACACCCTTGTGGTGTTCTTTTAGCCGTGTACCAACATGGCGTTTAGACTGACCCAAATACTCTTTCTCGCAGTCGTCGCATAATAAAGAATATACAGCATGAGTTGTCTGATTTGTTTTAACAGGATCTTTTGGCTTTAAGAAAATATGGCCTATAGTCAAATAGGGTTTTAAGGCAACCATAATATTTATTACAATTACTTTATATTCTCTTGATTGGTTCTGTGACGACACCTATAGTATGTATGGAATATTGCATAACCCTTAACAGAGGTATCACCCTTGGAGTTATTTTGGTTCCTACAAACAGGTGATCTCAGGCAATCGTTAAGAAAACGTTTTATGTAATCTTATTCCCTTAAACATTTGGAATTAGCTTGAGAATCACTGTTTGACGGCAAGGATTCAGCTCTTTGAAGCAAAGTTTTTGCAATGGATCTTTTATGGCCTACTGGGTGATAAGAGTCGTATGACAAATATTTGTCACATACACAGACTTACTCTTACTCTTTGTTTGTCAGTCAGGAAATCTCTCACCCAATTGATAATACTGGGAGAAATATCTAATGAATTAAGTTTCATTGCGAGCAAGTGATGGTTGACAGGGTCGAACTGTTTCTTTAAATCTACTATAATCAATCTAACTCGGACGCCATTACTTTCAGTTGCTTTAGAAGCTGTATCTACTATGTTAACTAGAAAATACATGCATGCACAAACCCCTCGCCTTGCTGAGAAAACAATTGAATTGGTGTCAATATGTGTCCGTAGTGTGTGACGTGCAATTCTGAGCTCCGTGTTTATTTTGTTAAATTTTTAAATTTGACGCCGAATTAAGTAACTCAATTTTAGTTTCTTAAACACTGAGGATTAAAGGACTAAGAGTATCACAAAAGATTCCTTCATGCGAATTCTCGATGACAAATTCAGACCGGTTGAAGACAAAGTCAAAGAATTGGTCAAAACGGTGGAGTTCATCAGCGCCAAGTATGATGAGCTATTATCTAAGCAGATAAATATCGAAGCTGTAAGCAATGGGCTGGTAAAAGAGAATGAAATACTGAAGAATAAAGTATCAAATCTGCCAAATCGAGTTGAACAATTAAGTACAAACGTAAACGACCTAGAGCAATATGGCCGCCGTGAATTCCTTGAAGTACGTGGCGTTCCTTTTCGAGATGATGAAGACCTTACTAATGTGGTATGCTCTATTGGTAGTTTAATAAATGTAAATATTCAACCGCAAGACATCTCAATTAGCCATCGTCTTAAGACGAGAACGCCGACGCGAAACTCAACGCCAGCAATCATCGTGAAATTCGTAAGCCGGACCACAAGGGATAGGCTTTATTATGCTAGGAAACATCTAAAAGATAAAACTACTTCAGACATTGGCTTTGGTAGAATCTCTGATAACAAGATTTATATCGCAGAAAGCTTGACAAGTAAGAATAAAGAATTATTTAAGAAATGCCTCGATGCAAGGCGGTCCCTCAATTATAAATTCATCTGGACGAATCAAGGAAGAATCTATTTGCGAAAAAATTCTGACACGCCTGCCGCAGAAACTAAATACAAAGTTTCTGAAGATATCCAGTATGCTAATAGTATGCCAGGTTATTACCTAGTTTATCCAATGCAGGTGGTGTAGGTTTTTTTGTTTCTCATCAATTAAATTTTCATGTAAGATATGATCTGTCAGTATCTACAAATGACTATGAATGTTTATGGGTAAATATTCAGAGCAATTTTAATCACGATTAATATGCGGGGTCATATATAGACATCCAAATAGTGATCTTGAAGCATTCTTGGTAAATTTAAACAAGGTTATGGATACAATAAGTCGAGAAAATAACTGCTGCATTATAGTGGGAGACTTTAATTTAAATTTGCTTAACTCAGATTCACATTCGGGTGCAGAGGAATTTTTAAATAGCTATATTGGGTTCTAACTTTTTCAGTCCCCATATTTTGCAGCCGACAAGAATTACTCATCACTCGGCTACTTTAATTGATAATGTGTTTTTTAATTCGATTGCTCACCATACAATTAGTGGCAATATAGTGTATGATCTAACTGACCATCTTCCAAATTTCCTGATTGTCAATAATTTTACCACATTAGCTACCTAAAGGTTATAAAATGTATAAAAGGAATTACACTCATTTCAACGAACAAAGTTTTGTTCGCGATGTTCAGGCTATCAATTGGAATTTGGAAACTTTAGATAATAACGTTACTAGCATGTTTGACAAATTCAATTCTGATTTAATGAAAATAGTTGATAACCATATCCCTTTAAAGCAACTGAGTAGGAAAACTATTAAAAATATGGCTAAACCCTGGATAACACCAGGAATCAGAGCTTCGTTAAAAATAAAGAATAATTTTTATAAACGATATATAAATACAAGGTCCCCGTATTATTTTTCAAAATTCAAATTATATAGAAATAGACTAAATCGATTGATCAAAATAAGCAAAAGAGACTACTATAATAATTACTTTACTATAAATAATAAAAACATGAAAAATATATGCAGAGGAATTAAACAAATTATAAGTACTAAACCGAGGGTTGGCGGTGGTATACCATCTCAAATTATAGAGGAAGGATCTGTGTTGAGTGATAGTACATCGATTGCACAATCATTCAATAAGTTTTTTGCTAATGTAGGAAATAATCTGGCTGTATCTGTACCCTATGAAGGTGGGTCCCCAATATCGTATATGCCGCCAAGGCAAATAAATAGTATATTTCTCTATCCGATAACCTCTGACAAAATTGAAATAGAAATTAATAAACTAAACTCTTCAAAAGCCGCTGGTCCTTTTAGTGTGCCGGTAAATATTTTAAAACTAATTAAGGGAATTATTTGCAAACCTCTAGAAATTTTATTTAATAGCTCTTTCCTAACTGGTTGTGTCCCGGATTGTTTTAAAATGGCTAGAGTAATTCCTGTACACAAAAAAGGTTCAACTATGCATTGTAATAATTATCGTCCGATTTCTTTACTATCAATTTTCAATAAATTGTTAGAAAAACTTGTTTTTAATAGAATTAGTTGTTTCATTGATAAACACAATATGTTATACAATAAGCAATTCGGCTTTCGTGCAAAACATTCTACATTACATGCAATACTTTCGATTACTGATCAGATACCAACAGCTGTTGAAAATGGTTACTACTCGAGTGGTATTTTCTTAGATTTATCTAAGGCCTTTGATACAGTTAATCATTCTATTCTCTTACAAAAACTTGAGCATTATGGATTTAGGGGTATAGTATATGACTGGTTTGAGTCATATTTATATAATAGAAAACAATTTGTTTCAATAGGAGGTGTCTCGTCAGGATTACTAGATGTTACCTGTGGGGTGCCACAAGGTTCTGTTCTTGGGCCTCTACTGTTTCTTTTATATATTAATGATATGAAAAACACTACTAGTGATCTTGATATTCACCTTTTTGCTGATGACTCAAATCTCTTCAGCTCTGATAAGAGTTTGTCAAGGCTGGAAACAAGGATTAACGCTCAACTCTCAGAAGTTTATCGTTGGCTTTGTGCTAATAAGTTGTCCTTAAATATTGAAAAATCAAACTATATCATATTTCACTCCGTCCAGAGAAAGCTTAACTACGAAATTAAAGTCTTCTTAAATAATCAAATACTTAAACGAGAATTTAATACCACTTACTTGGGTGTAGCAATTGACTGTCATTTAAATTGGAAATCGCATGTGTCAAACATATCGAAAAAGGTTAAACGCAATATAGGTGCAATATCCAAAATAAGGCATTTTGTTAATATTGATGTACTCATGAACCTTTATTATTCCCTTATTTACCCATTTCTAACGTATGCACTAATGGTTTGGGGAAACACCTATGCTTCATCTATCGATCCTTTGCTTATTTTGCTGAAAAAAATAGTTAGATTAATGACCTTTTCAAATTTTTATGACCATACAGATCCTTTATTTATAAAATTAAATATATTGAAGATGCATGATCTTGTCTTCTATTGGAATGCAGTATTTATGCATGATTTCTATAATGGAAACTTGCCAGAAATATTTCATACTTTTTTTACTTCTGTAAAAGAAAAACATAATCATAATACCAGATTTGCTTCAAGATTGACTTATTCTATTCCAAAGATAAGAACAAATTATGGGAAATTTAATATACGCTTTTCGGGCGTAAAGGTATGGAATGAAATAAAGAAACTTCCGAACTCAATTTTTTAGAACAAATGTTTTACTGTATAAAAATGATATTTTCATAAATATATCTTAAAAGCAGCGGGAACATAACTCAAAGCGTAAAGGTACCGCGACTTAATATTTTCCTGAATACTTCTTACATTATTTTATTGTTTGTTAATTTTACAACTTCATCATATTTTGCATGCACTGGCTAATATTTAGTGAAAATTTGATGAAAATTAGACTGATTTTGAGCGCGCAGTAGCGATTTTTCACAAAACGCCAAAAAGGGTGCCCTGTAACCTTAAGAAGAACTAAACCCTTTGTTCCTTTGCGTTAATTCCTTAAAGATATTATACAAAGCATGGATTTGGCCATATTTTGATTATTGCTCCCCTTTGTGGGATACATGCGGGAAGGTCCATAAAGATAAATTACAGGTGCTCCAAAATAGAGCGGCGCGAGATATAACAGGAGCAAGATTTGATGTCAACTAGGCAAATGTACTGGAGGATCTGCAATAGTCCACGCTCGATGTAAGACGTCATAGGCTGAAAAGCGTTTTGATGTACAAAATTCCTATTTAGCAGTCCGCCCAAAATCTTAGAGAAAAATTTATAAAAATTAAAGATCTTAATAGAGAATATAATCTTCGAATAATACTACTGATCCAGCACTTCCAAAACCTAACACAAAGTTGACTATCTTACACGAACTTGTAAGTACAGTGGTCGAATATTTTTCCTTCTGAGGCGAAAAAGGCATCCTCGCTTTAATGACCAATTTAAAAGCAGTATGTCCAATATACCACAGAGACCCAGGGACTATAGGATGTGACTTAAGATTAAGTATATTTGAGATACAGACGATTTCAAAAGTATAAGAATTTCTGATACTTTGGACTAACAGTCTCTGCAGTTTTAACTTTTAAATATATTCGAGGTATACAGTGTTTCAGAAATCGTTGGTATATTTCGGAAATTGTATATTTTAATTGGAGCATCTCATTGTCTTTAAAATTTTATGCTGCTTGATAAGGTGCATCTATATTTTCGCATTTCCAAGATAATGTATTGTAATTTGCTTATTCGTAATTCTTGGTAGTCCGTATCCTCTATTTTTGCAGAAAAAAATTCAAGGTCGGCAAGATTTTTTGAAAACGATTGTTTATGTTGACGAGTGTTTCTATGGAAACAGTTTTCGCGCTTTAAGCGTGATTTTGCATCATGCTTTTTTCTCAAATATCAATTTTTTTGACTTATTTTACAGATAGTACAAAGCCATTCAAACATTTTTAAAACGTTTTTTTATATTTTGCGGAAAACTAGCACAAAATCTGCAAAATGAGAGGAAAATAGCCAAAAAAATGAATTTTGGAAAATGCAAAGATAGTTTGGAACGCGTTTAAATCAGTATCGCTATTTCTACGATTGTATGTATTATGTCTTTCATTATTAACTTGAAATGAGAGATAGGGTGAGGTGTGGCTATTCAGAATTTTATGGATGAAAATAGATTTAGATAATTTCGTCTTTCTTCGAGAGGTTTCCAAATTAGATTATCGAGTAACTCAGATGACCGAATACCGTAAGTTGCCCAAGTAATTACTCTTACAGCACGATTTTGGTGTTTTTGCAATCTATCTTTGAGCCCAATTCCGCCATTATCCCATAAGGGGCTGCAATAATAGAAATAAGGCTGTATAATAGCATTATATAGCGTATTGGTTGTCGACAGTAGTACAAACGACTCGTAACTTGTGAGGGGATCAGGAACTAAAGGTTGGAACACATTTATGGGTGACAGAAAACTTTGATTGATTGTATTGACAAGATTTGAAACAGATACGTCGACGTCTTCGTCTAGGGGAGGATTTAAAAGATGTCGAAAATCATTACACTGGATGAAAAATTAGATTTCGCACACCTTTGACCACATTTGCGCACATGCAAAGTTATAAATTGGTTTCATGTTGCACTATGTGCCGGATTGCAAATACCACGATGCCACGCATTGCCAATTGATGCGAAGATTGTGTCGTTTTTTATATTTGCAGGTAATTCGAATTTGTGGCGAATTTTGTACGAATATAGAGATCGCAAAATAATTGCATATGATGCGATTACTGATTCATTTTATTACTTGCAGTAAATGCGAATTTGTTGCCAAATTCTTGCCAATTTGACAAATGCGTATTCATATGCCATATATTTCATGCATTATACTATAACAGTTACGTATTAAATTTGAGCGATATCGATTTTGCAAATTTAGTGAAATTAATCACGTACTTTTGAATAGGCCAGCAATTTTAAATATTGATTACAACTATCTTGATTTCGCCACAAGTGTAATTCGCAACTGTAATTGGAAGTTTGCTGCCATTTTCTTAGGATATTCTCATGGATTGGTTGTTTCCTGGACCACTTTAGTACTAAATAATGTAAGATACAGTACAATGGGGACTCCGAAAAAATTATGATTCTAGGTTTCGACAAATCTGTATGGTCATCCTGGAAACGTAGAATTTTAAAAAATATTTTTAAAAATTTCGGAGCATCCATTGTATTTCATTTGATCAAAAATAAACAAGGTGCAGTTGCTTTATATTATTTATATTTATTGAATATATACAGTTACAGTGGAATCTTCATTCAATCCGTAAGTCAATATTGTCATCAATGCATTATACTGTATAAACATTAAAATATCTTTGCAATTATGGCCTTTGTCACCCTAAATTAAATCCCCACACACACGAGCAATTTTTCCTTGAGAAGTTTATTTTCACGACAAACATTTTTTTTATCAATTTTTCGTGACCACTAGTTTTATTAACACAAGAGCAAATAAAACTTGTCAAGAAAAAATTGCTCGTCTGTGCGTCCCGCATTGGTTAAATTGAAGTCCAAATATCTTGCAGAAGAAAGTAGCTATATGCAAAAATTAAATTAAGTCCCAATACTTAACGGACAAAGTTCAACAATGTCTAACATGAGTAAAAGTTTTCTTCAGTCATACCTAAATCAAAAGGCAAGAGAAAATTATTAAAACAAATGTGTTAGATTAACTAAAATCAGAAGGTATAGCTCAAATGGCAGGTCAAACGCGCGTTAATGCTGAGACAATCGCTAGTTAATGTCAATACGCGCGTTAATGCTGAGACTCATCGCGATAATACAAAATGGCGGAAAGACGCTTCTCTAGATTGTCTACCATTTTAGTCGTATTTTTATCTCTATTTTTGCTCGTGGAGTCTTTTAAACCTTGTCGAAGGTTAGTTAAAGGTGCCTCCTGTCTAATGTGTGCACTTAAACTGGATATCAAGCAGTTTCCAACAAGAAATACGCCTGGTCTACCGAGACATTCTCCTTCCACTACTAAAGCCAGCCTGCCACCATCATGTAAATTGAAAGTTAGTTTACATTTGCTGAAATTATCTATGGTCGCTTCCTCGTTAGTTCTTTTATCTGGCGATGTGAGTTTAAATCCTGGTCCTTATGCAGATGATCTGCCAAAAGCTCGTGGCTTCAAAGTGGCTCACCTGAATGTACGAAGCTTGGTAAATAAACTGGACGACATTAGTCATCTCGTAAGAAGTAAATCGTTCGATATTTTCTCAGTTTCTGAGACTTGGCTCAATCCCACTATATTGGATACTGAAATTGACATTCCTGGCTATACGTTAGTAAGACATGACCGCAATGGCAAACGAGGTGGTGGAACAGCGATTTTTGTTCGAGATGGCATTCCCTATAGACACCTAACGGACTTGTTTGACGGGGTAAACGAAGCTTGCTGGATTGAAATAAACCGTGCTAAATGTAAAAAGTTAATCGTTTGTTGTGTGTATAGACCGCCAGATTATTGCTGTGACTCCTTGATTGACTATTTTAACACATCTCTTTCAAAATTGCCTGCTGAAACTGAAGTTATAATTCTGGGAGATTTTAATGCCGATTTCTCAGCCGAGAAGAATACTGCCGCGTATAAAGCAAAGCAGAAGTTACAAAGATTTGCAAACCTGAATGATTTTGAACAATTGATCAAAACTCCCACTAGAATTTGTAACCAGACGAGAACTCTGATTGATTTAGTTTTTGTCAATAATAGTCATCGTGTTGTTGAAAGCGGAGTCATTCACTCGGCAATTAGCGACCACTCTATTGTTTATTGCACTATAAAATCTGGTGTTCCCAAAGCTCCTCCAAAAACAATTGAATATCGCTCTTACCGCACTTTTGACAAGAACTCTTTTATTCAAGATCTTAAGTCAATTGACTGGGATATAATAGACGAAACTCAAGATTTAGATGCTGCTGTCGAAACATGGAATACACTCTTTTCTGATGTTGCTGATAAACATGCACCTATTAAAAGGAGCCGCATCAAAGGAACCAAAACACCCTGGTTGACGGCTAAACTTAAAGACGCGATGCGAGATCGTGATTACCATCATAGAAAGGCTATTAAAAGTAACTCTGAATTTCACTGGAACATGTACAAAAAATTAAAATGCCTTGTTACCAAACAAGTTAAGAAGAGTAAAGCCGATTATTATCTCGAATTAATTAACAGAAACAAAAGCAATTCTGGTGGGCTATGGAAAATACTCAATGAAATTACATCACGTAAATCCACATCGCCAGTCACTTGTATTGAAGCGGACGGCGTAACCTACACGGACTCACAATCCATTGCTGAAGTCCTGAATGATTATTTTTCTTCTATTGGATCGAAACTCGCTGCTAGGATAACTCCTGGTCTAAATTACATCTGGAAAAACCCTTCTTTGACTGTTGATGCTAATCCTGTTAGTGGTTTCAACTTCCAACCTGTAGGAAGCGTTTGTCCGTACAGAATTAAATCGGCTAAAGACCAACAAAGCCATAGGACTTGACAAGATTAGCGCGCGTCTTCTAAAGGACTCTGCCTCATTAATAGCACCAGTTTTAACAAAGTTGTTCAATAGGTCATTGGAGTCGTCGAAATTCCCGTCGATCTGGAAATTTGGTAAAGTCACTGCTTTATTTAAATCTGGAGACAGATGCGATTCTGGAAATTATAGACCGATCACTATTCTACCCACGGTCAGCAAAGTCTTAGAGAAGGTTGCACATCACCAAGTTTACAAATACCTTGTGGATGAAAAGATTCTATCGCCAGTGCAATTTGGTTTCAGACCAAATCTATCAACCGAAGTCGCTTTGATACATTTTACTGACTCGATTCTTGATAATATGGACAAAGGCGCTGTCACTGGAGCAGTCTTTTTGGACCTATCAAAGGCCTTTGACACGGTGAACCATTCTATACTATTTTCAAAATTATCGAAGGCTGGATTTACTGATGCCACTATAACATGGTTCAAATCATACCTATATCAGAGAATACAGGTAACAAGAGTGGATAATGCTACCTCTTCTGCAAAGTATGTCTCAGTTGGAGTTCCACAAGGGAGTGTCCTTGGACCACTCCTATTTATCCTTTACGTGAACGACTTGCCGTCTTGTATTAAGAAGTGTAAAGTGACTATGTATGCAGATGACACGGTTCTTTATTTCTCTTCCTCTACGTTGTCGGAACTTGAGGAAAATTTGAATGCTGACCTTGAAATCCTTCGCAGATATTTAAATGACAATCTTTTAACTTTGAATGCTGAGAAAAGCAAATTTGTAATCTTCGGCAGCACGCGTAAACTCAATTCATTCCGTGAGTTTTCATTAGAGATCAACGCACATAACTTGGAACGTAGAGACACCTTCAAATACCTTGGCATTAAACTTAATCAAAATATGTCTTGGTCGGACCAGATTGATGCCCTTAGCAAAAAAGTCAGCCAACGACTTGGAGTTCTGCGTCGTGTTAAGTATTTGCTGCCTCTACATGGTCGTTTGGCGATATATAACAGTCTCTTTTTACCGTTATTTGATTATGCAGATATTGTGTGGGGGGACAAGAACAATAAAGTCCTAATGCATAATCTCCAGGTTTTGCAAAATAACGCAGCAAGAACTATACTGGATTATCCCAAATACTTTTCCGGTACAGAAGCCCTCGCACAGCTAAACTGGATGCCTTTATCAGAACGTCGACGCCATCATCGTTGTATTGGTATTTATAAATGTATAAATAAGTATATAAAATATCAATTCAACCTAGTTCAAAACGTTGAAATTCACTCCCACAACACACGCCGCCGTCAGGATTTACATCTTCCACGCTCGCGTACTAACTGGGGAAAACAACGATATATATATCAAGCAGTCGTTGATTGGAATAACCTTAATTTAGACCAAAGACAATCGAACAATTTGACTTCTTTTAAGAACTCTATATAAGAAGTCTATATTAATTTAGACCAAAGATAATCGAACAATTTGACTTCTTTTAAGAACTCTATATACGATTTTATGCTGATATAATTTTAAACATACTTTTTTATATATGCTATTATAATGTAGTTTTATTTGTATTTTAATTGATATCGTAGGACCTGCCTGAAAATCACCTTGTTGTGAGTGTAGCTTCCTACTGAAATATTGTAATAATAATAATAAAAAAAAGTATATCGGAGTCCCCGGAAATCCCCCCAAAAACATTTGGCGGCCCCCCCGAGAAAATCTTCCCAGCAAATTTGGCCCCTCTGGGGCCATATTTTCTTGGTAATATTACTTCCCTTTCGGAAATTTGCTCCCCCTCGAAAACATAGTTTACTCTATCGCTATATAAGCTCGTGAAGGTTCTTCTAAAACCAAGATCCTAAAAGTGTTTGTCAGTATTTATAGTTAGTTTGCATAATTTATTTGTGTGGAAATTCTAATTCTAAAGATGTGCTAGAGCAGCCATGCCAGACACATCCCACATGGGTATCTGTAGAGGATAAAGTTAATGCATAATGGCTAACGTCTTTAAGCTAAGGACGTGAAAAGATCTTTAGAGACAGGAATTTCTAAGATATTAGAAGTTACTTAGATCCATAAATTCAGTCACATGGTATAAAATTAGATTAAAAACCGCACTTTAGCGAACGACGACGTCATGCGGTGGCGAATATGCTACTAATATACACACGTCTAATAAATAACAACGACTAATTACCATTGGGGTAAAAGTAGACTTTTAAGTGGAAACGTTAGTCCGAAAAACAAAATCAAATGTGTGGTTATTTCGTAAAAAAATCTTAGTTTATCTTTATGCATTTTACTTAGTATACATATATACAGGATATATATAATCGCTCATATGGTGGGATGCACAGAGGCGCCGGAATATCGATAAATGGAGTGCATGTATTCATATATTCGTGTTCACAGACTGTAAAAACAATCGATTTCAAAAGAAATTAGTTGGGCAGAACACGAGTATATGAACACCTGCCCCTCCAATTATCGATATTCAGGCGCCCCTGGGGATGCATACAGAAGCATTCCGTAAAAACGAAAGTAGACTGCATGCTTCATGGCTCACAAAAAAATTCCCCACACACAAAAGCGCAAAGGTTCGAAAGACTAACAAAACATTCCGCAAACACAAAAGCATGTATGTATTAGCAAAAAGCGTATCCTTTTAAGTATTATAAAAATCGTCTCGTTTCCATAGCTTAATGATACAGCCATTATTTATTAACGTTGTCTTCTACAAAGCTGGTCAAAACCAAACGCGAAAAGTACGCTAAACTCTCGCTCTTGGTTCTCTTCAGTATTGCATTAATGCAATAGAGAATTTTCACACAAAAAATAGGCAATCGTACAAAAATGTTGAGAAAAATTTCTAGAATTTTGGTTTTATTAGAAGCTTCACGATTTCTGAGCCTAAAGATAAAGTAAACAATTTTTTTAGGGGGGGGGGGGAATTTCCGAAGGAGGGGGCCATATTTCCTAGGAAGTAGCGGCCAAATTTTCGTGGGCGGCAAATTTCCTGTGACACTGGGATAGCTGTCCTTGGATGTCGCACGGCAGTCCACACCAATCAACTCGCTACTCCCTCGATCACTTGCAGTAGTTGAATAGATGTTAGGCCAATAACGATGCCCAATATC